TCTTTCTGGGCCTCTATTTCCTCATCTGTAAAAAGAAGGGGCTGGACTCAGTGATTGCTAAGGTCAATTCCAGCTTTGTAAATTCTGTGCTTTTAAAATATACTTGGATCCTGAAAGAAGAGCATCTTCTTGGGTTTCGGACAAAAGAGCCCAGGTTGTATTTGTGCTTCACCTGCCACTACATCCTGACTTGCTGCTCTAATGAATCCAAGTTTGTTCTTCAGTGACATGGCTCAGCTCCAGGACCCCTTGGTGTGATTCTAACACTGTATAGATATTGATTTTTCTTGCAGGATAGTGGCTACGGGAACCACCAAACTACTAAATCTCTCCCGTTCTCATAAGGATGCTTTCACAGGTATCCTTCCACTCCTTTTCCTTGATATTTAACTCAATCCAGGGCTAATTCGAAGACAGCATTACTAGCTCTGTGGCTGACACCTGGCACCATCTCCGGGTTGTCAGTCAAACACTGCAGCAGACAGAGGTTGGTCCAAAAGGGGCTTTTGAAGACTTTGACCTTGTCACTGCCATGTTGTTCTCCATCACCTCCTGCATCAAAGCTTAGAATTCCTTACTGTGAACAGTGACAGTAGTTACTCAAATAGGATAGGCTTCCTTCCGTATTTGGTTTGTTTGTGCCTGTAGAAGCTGACTTTTCACCTCACGGCATTGATCGTTGTTGTCATAGCAAGACCACAGATGCTACCCTCAATATACACATACATAGTGAGCAGCCGTACTAAAATGTTCATTTGATTCTTGCTTTCTCATTTTAGACGTCTACCCGCAGTGAGCGCTCCAGTGAGCTGACGGAAGGCACAACATGTCAAGCAGATTATGACAGCCAGTAACTTCCCAATACAGTTTACACAGGGGCTCATTTACAGTGGTTCTTGGGCGCTCACCTTGTTACATCAGTGAAAATACACACTACAAAATGAGTGGGGACTTTGATGTCAATAAAGAATTCTCTATCCAGAACCGTAATACCTTGCTCATTACCTTTCCATGGTGACCCCAGAGTAGAGGGGGTAATTTAATGAGATCGTTAATATTTCTATAAAACCAGCAATCTGCTAAATTCTCTTTTGGTAGGCACATTTGCAGAACTAGCATAAGTGACTGTTCCGCACGAGGCATTATCTTTTCTTGTACAACACTGAAAGCCTACATGCTGCTTGACAAATTTGAATTTTAAAAAGTAAGAATGATTGGCACGTGGTAACTTACACAGAAATATAAAGTGGTACAAGAAAATTGCCCATTTCTTTTAGATTTACATTTTATAATTTTTTTTTCTTTTAAGAAGTGATAAGACATGTAATTTCCATCAGCTTCAACCAGTTAAGTATGAAAGAGGCTGCAAGTTCAGCCCTGTAGCGGAAAAGCAAATCATGGGGAGAACTGACATACCGCAGATGCCTCCCAGCTGCCTTCCGTTCCGGTCCTGGAGACGGTTGGTTACTTTAGGCCAAGACTCAAATCCAAGGATTGAGATACCGCATGTCTTGAAAACGGCTTAGCTCACCCTCGGCTCCCGACCCAACCAGCTCCAGTGTCTTACTCAAATGTCTTTCCAGGTCCATCAAGTGCAAGGAGAAAAAGGAAGCAGATAGAGAGGTATAATAGAGTTTACAGAGGAAGCCTTCTCTTGACACGTGGGATGCTCCAAAAAATTGGGCATAAATCAATTATTGCCTATTAATTCTTTTATTTAGTCAGCAACATTTATTGATATACCATTGCAAAGCAGCCAGCTCTGCACACACGCCGAGTTAACACTTCCTCACTGATCTTCGTTATCATTTTGAAGCTGTGTCACAATAAAGATAATTGGGGGCCTCAACTCATAACCAAAATCCTGTTTAGGAATCATGACATTTCGGGGATAGGAATGTTCTGTCAGTTTGCAGTCTGTCTGACTTTCATTAAACATGAATAACTGACTCCTTGCTCTAATACACGTATAAAAATGTATCTATTGACAAGACCATATTTTTTTTTTCTAGAATTTACATTGACTTCTTTTCTGGTCCACTCATCCCCTTACTTAAGGTTTAAACAGTCTAGTTGGGACTGCTGCATGGAAACATAAACAAAGATTTCTTTTTAGAAAAGTGAAAGTGAAAAAAAATAAAAATAAAATAAAAATAAAAAAGTGAAAGTGGTCCTTTGCCTCTAAGGGCAGCTGTTGAGCTATGGAAAGAATGTTTTGTTCCTGACAATCACGGGATTAAGAACAAAGATATTCCAACAGGCGAGTTATCTTATGACAGCATTTATTGCGTCAACTAAGCCAGCAATGAGGCTCTTTGATTCAGCATTTATTTGGGGCGGGGCAGCGGTGGTGCTAAGCTCTAGGAGGGCAAGAACACGGGTTTATCTTGCTTGTCGCTGGGATTCACAGCACGTAGCGCATAGAGAATTAATAAAAAACGATCGAATGCATGAATGTTGTTGATTTTACAGATGAGGAAACAAAAGACTCTGAAGGTCATTTGGGTAGTAAGAAGTGGACCTGGAGATCAAGGTCTGGTTAGACCCCGAGGCCTGTGCCCTTTTTCACATGACAAATTAGATACCCACAGATTGGTGACTTTCCAGACTTCCTGCCTCTGTTTCTGGGTTGCAAATCACATCCTTTCCTGGGTAACAGAGGTGATGGGAGAGGTGATGAGTGGTATCTTGATAGAGCAGACATCTATGAATACCATCAAAGCCCCATGTGAGGTCACCCTAGAAGACTCTTACTTTGACTTCTGTCTTTTTAACCTGGATCTGCCACCTTCAAGGTACTGAATATATTCCAGGTTGTGCTACAGACCAGACGCAGATAACCTGCAGGCTGGTAAGTAGAGGCGCCGAGCTGAAGCCTGTGGCAGTAAATCCTTCACACAGCTGATCGTCTTCACCCCCTGTGAAGTCCCCTCTGCTCACAACTGATGTGGCTGAAAACATAGCAAGCTTCTGTATCTGTGGTGGGTGGAGAAAGATCTTTAATTATAAACCAGAATACGAGGTATTAACAGGAGAGCTTTAACACCCACAGTTACACTTGGAGTTACGGGGTGTTAATGAGCCAGATAAAGCGAGGAAGGCGTTTTTTCCCCTCCTGGGCTGCCTGGGTTCGCTGTGGGTGTAGAACAATTGAAACCTCAAGTTGTGAGACCATGAATCAGGGGGGTTTCCTGTATTATGAATGATGTCATCTAATAAGATGAGAGACTTTCAGTGAAATGCAGGAACATTCAGGGTAATGTGTTTGCAGCAAGCAGGACCCTGAATTTATGGCAGACGGGAGTGTATGAGTTGACCAAAGTGGAGAATGATGAGAAGTAACTAAATTATGTATGGCAGTCTTTACAGAGCAGAGGAAGGAAGAAAGCTTAACAATGTTGTGCTTGAAGCACCAGCAGCAACTGGTAACGTATAGGTTGGAGGCTGGTAAGAAGAGAAACGGATCTATGAAGGCTCAAAGACCATACATAAGTGTGACCCGGACCAAGCAGTGGATTTGGGAGGGGGAGAGGAACCAGGGGCTCAGCATATAATAAACTTTAGTGGCAGCGAGACAGCCAAGTTAACTTGACATTAAAAATCACCATCTTAATCTATGTAGCTCTTTCCAGCCTGAGTCTTATCAAGGCAAAAAAAAGAAAAGAAGAGAAAAAATCTATAGTTAATGATGAAGAATTTTTCCGCTTTGCTTTCCCGGCATCCACTGAAGGCAGTACATAATTTAATTATTGAATCTACAGTATGGACCATGGAGATGAAGAATGATGTGCCTGCTGTAGTGAGAAATTAGATAGAACCAACTGTTTATCCTGATCATTCTTCCTCTGTTAGGCTAAAGGAATACAGTTAACAAGCTTTTGTTTGGATTCGAGTTTCAGATCTGGGATGTGCTGATCGGAACTCAGGACTGCTACAGTAGCTATTATTTATGGAGTCCTGACAGTATCCTCAAGCCCCACGTGTGAAACAGAAAGGGGTCCATTCCTCATTCTCTGCCGTGTAACCAATGTTCCAGCGACTGCGGGGTTGGACGTCTGAAGAGAATAAGAAAGTTCAAGAAAATCAGATTTCGTTCCTTGGAGCAGCTGCCTTCAGAAATGTCACCCCAGGTCTTCCCTATTGACCTGCACCCAGTTTCTCGGATTTTTCTAACAATCGTTAACAAAATATGCACAATTGTATAGCCGGCAAGCGTTACGGGGAGCACCAGGAAGGCGTGTGCACAGTGGTGGGGCTGGGAAGGGGGAGCAGGCTTCCCGTTCAGCACGCGTCTCAGGCTCTTCCCCACGCCTGGCGTAGGAAACGAAGCCGGCCAAGCCCAGCGCTTATGCAAATGCAGCTTCGAGGCATTTGTGCCTTGAGGGCAGCGCCTCCCCGCCCGACCCAGTTCGCTGCCTGCCAACAAACCCCTCCCGCGAGGAACAGTGAAGCTGCTCCGGCGACGTCGCAGGCCCGCTCCAGGGGCCCAAACCGCTTCCCCTTAGTCCTGCCCCGAAAAAAGTGAGAAGGAAAAACCCCAAACCCTCGCCAGCAACCGCTGAAACGACCCTCAGATCCCGAGATCTGAAACTGCAGCGATTTCGAAGAAGTCGGAGGCCTGGGCGCGGCCACGAGCCGTGCCGTCCGAGGACCCGGGGCGGCGGGGCGACCGTGCAGGTGCCGGCCCAGCGGCCTCGGCGCGCGTTCGCGGGCGCCAGATGGAAGCCAAGGGCGAAACCCAAGCGCCGCTACGGCACAGGGGGCGGGCGGCCCGGGCGCGGCCGCTCGTGCGCCGGCCCGGAAGGTCGCCGGCCGGCCGGGACGAGGAAGCGCCGGCGACCTGGGCGTGGAGTCCCGCCACCTTCCGGCCACGCGGCGGCCCCGCCTCCTCTCCCGACTTCCTTCCCGGGCGGGACGGCGGGACAGCGGCGGCGGCGGGGACTGGCGCCGGCCTGTAGGTCGCGGGCGGGGAGCGGAGGGGCGGCCGGGGCAGCGGGCCCCGCGGGGACGCCCCCCTCCCGGTCCAACGTGCTGCCGGGGAAGCGGCGCGGGGCCGGCGGCGCTTGGTCAACCTCGCGGGGCGCGCGGCGGCCTCCGGGGCATCCGAGAGGAGCTGCCACGTGGGCGGCGGGGCCGGTGGCTGCGTCCCGGGGTTGGCCTCGAGGGGCGGGAGGAGCGTGGCTTGCGGCCGGGCCGGTGACCAGCCGTGTCTCCCTGGGTCCGTTCTGCAGCGGGGCTGCAGGGCACCAGCGAGCGCTAATCCTAAGCCGGTAGTAAGTTCCCTTCCCTCCGCTCTCCTTCTTCGCTCTCCTTCCTCGCCTGGCCTCCTGTCTACCCAGCACCCCTCCGGGCCCCCAGCAGCGGTTTTGGATGCTGCCCCTTAAACCGTGTGGTAAACCAGTTCCGTCCAGCGTCGCTTCGCGTTAAGAGGGTTTACAGGACCCTTAGGATCGGGGAAGCGTACCTAGTGGGTAACCGGGTTCCCAGCAGGCACCGACGTGCTGCACGGTCGCGTCAGCTTCACAGCTAGGTCCCGAAGCCCAGCTGTTGGGAAAGCCTCCCCGTCCTTCAGCCCTTGACATTAAAAATCAGACTTTTCCCTGAGAGCCACCGGGTTTCTGCGTTGTTGCCCTCCTTCCTTGCCCTTGGTTCATCTCCCTCGAAAGGATCCCCCCACCCGCTTACTGGAAGCTTTAGGTCCCTTCAGGGCTCTCTCCCTGTTGGAGAGACCGCTTGTGCCTGCCCGGGAGTAGAGCGCAGTGTTACCGAAATCTTGCCTTACTCACGACACTTGGCAGTCTTCATCGTTTCTCCTCTTTTGGTTCAGTACTCACAGTGGATAACGTCTGTCCCACCTGGGGAAACTAAGGGAAAGGGAAGGCACACATGAATATCACAGTTGGGACAGCTCCAAATGGAATCCAACTGGCATGGAGAATAATCCAGTGTGGTTTAGGGAGAGTTACTTATATTCTCTGAGCCTCTCTCTAAGAAGGGTGTTAGTTACCTTTAGCTCAGAACGAGGCTTCAGTGAGATAATGTGTATAACCTTCAACAGTGTCTGAAATATATTAGATGATCAATAAGTGTTCTCCTTTCCCTTGCCCTCTTTTGCTGGCTCCATTTGATAAGGGAGAGAGGTAAAGGATGACAGTGATTTGTAGGGCAGGCATGTGTAGTAACTGGCAAAAAAATCCTATGAGAAAGCAGTAAATAGATGTAATATCTGGGAATGCGCAGCCATACAAGCCGAATCCAAACTTCCAAAATAGTAACTTAATTTCTTATTTTTTTTTTTTTCTGAAGACCAGAGACCGTCTGGGGTTCATGTGCTGTGATTTCTGATTGATAAATGTAAATTGAAATTGTCTGAGTTTGGAGATCCAAAGTTGAAATGTGCTTTGGGTTGAACTGGAAAGCAGATTGACCAAAATGTCTTTGTCCATTGCTATTTTGTTGTGTTTTTTTTCTAGACCCAGCATGAGTGAATTTCCCTGTAAAAAACGTGATGACTATTTGGAATGGCCTGAGTATTTCATGGCAGTGGCCTTCTTATCGGCACAGAGGAGCAAAGATCCAAACTCCCAGGTAAGTGAGTTGTTTTTTTTTTTTTTTTTTGCGGTATGCGGGCCTCTCACTGTTGTGGCCTCTCCCGTTGCGGAGCACAGGCTCCGGACGCGCAGGCTCAGCGGCCATGGCTCACGGGCCCAGCTGCTCCGCGGCACGTGGGATCTTCCCGGACCGGGGCACGAACCCGTGTCCGCTGCATTGGCAGGCGGACTCTCAACCACTGCGCCACCAGGGAGGCCCGGTAAGTGAGTTTTACAGGAGAATGTTTGGACACTCACAGACACGGAGGTACCTACAAGTGAGCAAATTACAAGAGGAAGAGGCTCAGTGGACACCTGCCAACTTACAAAAAACAGAGGAAATCTGCTGTCTTTTGTGCTGCATTCCTGCCTGCTTACCTCTTCCTGTGAGAGAGTAAATTGTCACATGCCATCGTTAACTGCCTCTCGTACCCCAAGGAGACAGAGCTCTTAGCCCCTCCAGAAGTAGCGTGCCCATCTTGGAGCTCTGCAGGCGTCTGGTCTCCCTTACTGCCTCTCCACTGGCAGACCAGCCACCCGAAGTCACCAAGCCTTTGGGCATGTCTTCCTGTAGGTCGGAGCCTGCATCGTGAATGCAGAAAACAAGATTGTGGGCATTGGGTACAATGGAATGCCAAATGGATGCAGCGATGACCTCTTGCCTTGGAGGAGGACAGCGGAGAGTATACTGGATACCAAATACCCTTACGGTAGGGCATGTTGTGTGTTCCATTCTGCTTGTGTCATAGCCTCGGTGAGTGCTTAAATACGGTAGATGGTCAGAAAGCATCATCTTCCTTTTCAGTTGTTACCGACAGCTGGAAAGAAAAAAACCCTATTGAAGTACCGCAATTTCCCCTAAGTGCCAAAGGGAGCCAAGAAGTGGAGGCGTGGTAGTGGTCACACAGCCTGGCCCTGGGGCCAGGGCTCTGTCATGGGCCTCGCGTGTTTCACTGGTGGTGGGCTTCTCTGCAGAGTGCCACAGTCCCCGGGGGAGGTGGCTGTGAAATGGGCACGGTGGCCCTGCCATTTGTTTCTTGGCTGCTTGGGAGCGGGGCCAGCTAACCAAGTACTGGCCAGGGCTTTGCTCTGATGAGAAGCAGCGTGCATTTCCACCTACTGAGGAAATCTGGCTCAAGCTCGTCTCTGGGAAGCAGGACACAAGCTGTGAGCTGGACACCCGGAGAGGGATGATGCAGTCGCTTGCTCCTGTTTCCCCGGGCGCCGCATTCCCAGAGTGGCCGCTGGCCAGACCGCGAGCCAGATGCGCACGCGAGACCTTTGGCCTGGCCGACTCTGGTTTTCATCTTTAAATTAGGAGAGGATGCTTGTTATAATCTGTTGGCTATCTGAGCCCCAGGGGGACTTACTTCAGAGATTATCAGAGATTATCTGGGAGTGACCAGCCAAGCCTCCCTTTTCCTTTAACTCCCTGGAGAATATGCAACTAATGCTGTAAAGAGGCGCATCGGGCTGCAAATGCTGGTTGCTGAATTTTCTTAACGTTTGGACCTGAATTTATGTCTGGAAATGAACAGACTGCCTCTGCTGGAAGTAACGTAGATGCAGGCCATCCGAATGGGAAAGCTGTGCCCTCAGGAAATAAGGGTCAGGTGTCGTGTGAGCCCTTTCTGTTTCATTGGCTCTTCCCTGCTAGGTTTTCCTCTGGAGTTTTTCTCACGAAGAGCTCCAAGTCTACATGTAGCCTAAGTTATATATTTTTACTAATGTTCCTGGGCCTTAATCATGTTAAATAAGCCCCATAAATTTCTTTCTAAGCTGCTTCAGGGCAACTGCTTCGTTTTTGAAAGAAAAAAAAAAAGTGCCTGGAGGTGGAGAAGGAATTGAAGAATGAGACTGGGGAGAGCTACAAAGCACTCAGGGTTCTCAGGGAATAGAACAGTTCCGTGATTAAGGGGATTTCATCGTCGGGTTAGTCCATTTAACTCGCCCCCTTGTCAGAGAAGGAAGAGTCGGATCCCGGGGAAAAGAGGGTAAAACTGCCTTCTCAGCCTCAGCTTTATAGCCGAGTGGAGCGCGGGAAAGATGTGCCGGTGTATTTGAGAAACTCGTGGTCACCCTGCTTTTGGTTCTGTATGCTTTCAGTGATGAGAAAGAAGGGAAATGATTCGTTCATTGTAGGCACACGCAAAGGTGCTTTTTCACAGGACAGTTCAACGTCCCATATAAAGATGAAAGGGTTGATGAATTCAAGGTCCACGGTGATGTGTGTAAGGACCGCAGCCCGTATTCACTGAGTCAGGATAGTGGGCTGTGGGTCCCGGCGCTGAGCTTCCCTGTAGAGGAGGCTGTGACGCTGAGGCTGGTGGCAAAACGATGCCAGTGGTCTGCACGGCATAGAGGGGTCCTCACTGGTTACCAGGCGGCTCTCCCGTAGGACCTGTGCCTCCTTCAATCACCATGAGCCCCAGGCACATTTCTGGCAGTGACCTAGAAGCCCAAGGCTTTGCAGCATATTTACCATCCCCCGACTTCCCACTTCCAGAACCTCTCCAGTAGCTAATTGTGTTTGTTCTGAGACACTTGCCTTTTGTCCAAGTTGGAGAGTACCTTTCAGAGCTCCTTTCCAGAAGGAATTAAAAAAAAAAAAAAAAACCCACACAGGCATTTGTCCAGCTCCACTGATTGTTTTCTATTGAATGGTTGCTGAGTTTCAGGGCACTGGTTGTCTGTGTGCATTATTTTTTACTATCCATGTGATACCTCTAGGTTTTCAAAGCTCTTTGCCCCTTACTTATCAATTATTCATTTTACATGTAGCTGTGTTAGAATGTAGACAGTTTTCTTTCACGAGAGTAAGCCTATAATTTGATGTACTGTAAAAGTCGGAGAACGTATTAAGTGGTTTTTAAAAGGCATTTAGTATCACTACCATCATAATACATGTAAAGATGGACTTTAAGTCTGCATAACTATGACTGGCTGCAAAGTATCCACTCGGTCTTGTCTTTTGAAGGGATTTTGGGTCACAGAGAAGTAAATGTTTAGGTAGCCTTGGATGTAATAGAAATGTTTGGTGCTAATTGACTAAATGCAAATTCTTTTTTTCTGTTTTAAGACTTAAAGAAAATTAATTTAAAAAAATAAGTGATGGGCTTCCCTGGTGGCGCAGTGGTTGAGAGTCCGCCTGTCGATGCAGGAGACAGGGGTTTGTGCCCCGGTCCGGGAAGATCCCACATGCCGCGGAGCGGCTGGGCCCGTGAGCCATGGCCGCTGAGCCTGCGCGTCCGGAGCCTGTGCTCCACAACGGGAGAGGCCACAGCAGTGAGAGGCCCGCATACTGCAAAAAAA